CCCTCGAGGCACATCCCCTCAGTCGCAGCATCTAAGTTTTCAGAACTGCCTCAATTCAGGGAGGAACAGAAAGCCGGTACTGAGGAGAAAGTTACACCGAGGATTATACCCTCCTTTTTGGATGAAACGGTCATGCCTCCTCCACCATCTTTGGGAGATGACTTCCGTCGCTTCCAGGAACTGGAGGAAGTCAGGGATACCCACCATCAACTTCCTGACATCCTCCACTCTTCATCCTCTCCAAAGATCGCTCTCATGATTAATAAGGCCATTTTAGACCTGGCAAAGTCAGTGTGGTAAACCCCAGCATCAGTGGCGCCAGCCTGCAAGCGAGTGAACAAATAATGCTATGTCCCCGTCAAGGAATCTGATTTCCTCCTTTCCCTCCCGCCACCCAACTCCATCGTGGTGGACATGGCCAACCCTTGACTGGTGTTGTCGGCTGAGCCACAGCCGACAACACCAGTCAAGGGCTACTCCCTAAGATAGGGATTGGAAGTGCCTGGACCTTTTGGGCAGAAAAGTATACTCCTCAGGGCTCTACAATTCCATTTCAGCAACTATCAGGCCCTCACGGCAAAATATGATTATATAAATTGCTCAAAAATTTATTGAAAAAAATGCCAGAAGCACATCGTGTCTCATTTAAGGCCATTATTCAGCTGGCAAAGACATTGATGCAATTTGCCCTTGACGCGGCCGACGTGGTGGTTTGGTCCATCCCCACAACTATGGTGATGCAACGAGTGTCATGGCTCTGTTTTTTGGGCTTCCTGAAAGAGGTGCAGTTCACGGTTAAGGACCTTCCATTTGCAGGCACGAAGCTCTTCAGGAAGAAGACTAATGCCTCCCTTCACACCCTGAAGGTCTACAAGGCTACCCTCCCGTCACTGGGTATCTAGACACTGGGACAAAAGAAATGATTTAGTCCCCAAACCCAACATAGACCACATACGCCTCAGTACCAACCTCATCACCACTACGAACCACAAAGAAGGAAAGGGGAATTCCCTAAATGCAAGCCATGTGGCCCACAATCTTTGTCTCAGCCCTCTACTTTTGATGGGTAGGTTGAGGCACTATTAGACCACTTCCCCTGATTGACACAGCTGTCCATCGTTCCACACCTATTTGGCCACCAATTGGCAGTGTTTTGCAGTGCCGGGGAATGCATAACATGGGACCGATGGGTCCTAGAGATTGTTCGAACTGGGAGCTCCATCCTTTTTACCTCCCTACGCTCGCAACAACACTCTTCCCCATCCCTCTTCAGGGACCCTTCTCATGAGAGTTTACGACGATTAGAGATAGATCACCTCCTCCAGTTAGGAGCCATAGAACCAGTACTTCAGCATCTACGAGGCATCTATTATTTCCTAATACCCAAAAGGAAGGGAGGTTGGAGACCCATAGCAGATCTCAACAAGTTTGTTCAAGACTCAAAAATTCAAGATGGTCACCTCATCAACGATCATTCCAACATTGGAACAGGGAGATTGTTTTTCAGCCCTCAACCTCTAGGACGCCTGTTTTCATATCTCAGTCTTACCGGCTCACAGATGATTTCTCAGATTCACTCTGGGACATGACCACTACCAATACAGAGTGCTCCCCTTTGGGCTATTATCAATCCTGAGATTTTTTTTCCAAGGTTCTCTCAGTGGTGGCCGCTCATTTACATTCTCAACGATCTACCTGTACTTGGATGATTGCCTCCTCAAAGCCCGATCTCTCTGAAAGGCTCACCAAGTCACTGAAGCTACAATTCACTTGTTTACAGAACTGGGTCTACAGATGAACATCCAGAAGTGAGCCCTCACTCCAGTGCAACACCTGGAATTCATAGGAGCCGACCTTGATTCGTTACAGGTCAAAGCCCTCTTACCTCAACATAGGTTCCTATCCTTAGTCACACTAATAAGCACCATTCAAAACAGCCCACAAATACCAGTCAGGCTCTGCCTCCAATTCTTGGGTCATATGGCAGCCGGCACAGTGCTAATACCACATGCCAGGCTTCACATGTGATGCCTCCAAATGTGGTTCAGCTCGGTTTACAAACAAGAACAGGCTGGACAAATCCCTGTCACCACCCACCAGGATCAAAAACTCTTCAGACTGGTGGAAAGACCCAGCCAATGTTTGCAAAGGGGTCCCCTTCTCGCAAACATCACCATCGTTGCTCCTCACCACCGATGCATCACTCATAGGGTGGGGTGCACCTGTAAACAGCCTCATGATACACCTCTACCCCAATAGAACGCTGTCCTTGGGAGCCAAAAAATCTTACCGCGTTATACGTGAAACCGCGTTATATCTAACTTGCTTTGATTCCCCCTGAGTGCTGCTTTACCGCCTTATATCCGAAGTTGTGTTATATCGGGTCGCATTATATCAGGGTAGAGGTGTACAAGGCAAATGGTGGCCCACAGAGATAGCCCTTCATGTCAATCTCCTCAAGCTAAGAACGGTCAGGAATACCTGCGCCCCTTTCCTCCCTCTGATCACAGGATCACACACAAAGATCCTAACAGACAACATAGTCTGTATGTACTACATCAATCGGCAGTGGGAAGCCAGGTTGCCCTTCCTATGTGCAGAAGTGATGAGGCTATGGAATTGGTGCATCTCCCACGACGTTATACTGTCTGTGGCTTATCTACCGGGCACAAAAAACTCGCAAATTCCCACAAGACCACGAGTGAGAGATACACCTGACTGTGCTTAACAATCTATTAAGACGAGGGGGGACACCATCCACAGGGCTCTTCACCACTCACTGAACAAGAAATGTTCATGCTACTGCTCCAGAGCAGGAATGGGACAACACTCCCTGGGTGATGTTCTCCACCTCCGCTGGGACCAGGACATTCTCTACAGCTTTCCTCTGTTTCTCCTACTGTCAAAGATCATGCTGAAAATAAAAAGGGATGGAGCTCACGTCCTTTGGATTGCTCCTACTTGGTTGAACAGACCTGGTAACCTTACCTGGCAAAGCTCGCATCGTGCCAGCCAATCCCTCTCCCGGCCATCCTGCACCTCCTCTTGCAGAACAGAGGACATCCCAAGTTGGGATGTAGGGTGATTCTCCACCTCAAGGCATGGCTCCTGCTTGGTTCCAACACCTAGAAAGCTCCTGTTCAAGGGAGGTACCGGAGGTAATACTTCACAGTAGGAAGTCCTTGACACGACATACTTACCTGCAGAAATGGTCCAGGTTTCAGATTTGATGCACATCACAACAAATCTCTCCAACATCTGCGACTCTTCCGCATATCCTAGATTATGCTTTGACCCTAAAACAGTTGGGACAATCTCTAAGCTCTCTCAGGGCTCACTTAGTGGCTATAACAGCTTTCCACCAAACTGTAGAAAGATATTCAGTGCTGTCACACCCAACTACTAAAAGGTTCCTCAAGGATATAGTAAGCCTCTTCCCTCAACTTCGACTTTCTACCTCCATGTGGGACCTAAACCTGGTACTGACAGAACTGACTAGGCCCACCTTTGAAGCCATGGAAACCTGTTTGCTGACATACCTATCAATGAAAATGGCCTTCCTGATAGCAATTACCTTGGCCAGGAGAGATAGTGGCTCTGATGGCGCATCCCCCTTCCACAGTATTTTTTCTGGACAAGATTATGCTCAGGCCGCATCCAAAATTCATCCCCAATATAACCTCTCCATTTTACATGAATCAATTGATTCACCTTCCAATCTTCTACCCAAGCCTCACCAAAACAACAGTGAGGCTATATTACATACCCTAGATGTCAGGAGAACGCTGGCCTTCTGCCTGGACAGGACAAAGGCCTTCAGGAAGTTCCCTAGGATTTTCTTCTCCATTGCGGAAAGATCCAAGGGCTCAGCAATATCTGCCAAAAGGCTCTCGAATTGTATCAGACATTGTTACCAAGTTCGAAACATGACTCCTCCAGACTCTCTATTCTTACACACTCCACAAGGTCGATCTCTTCTTCTGTCACCTTCTTCAAGAATGTCCTTATTTCAGAAATCTGTAGAGCAGCGACATGGGCATCAGTTCACACTTTCGCCAAATGCTTTGCGATCACTGGGGACTCCGTCTCCGATGCCTTGGCTCCATGGTCCCTCCGACTCCAAAGTCCCAGCCCTCCAGAAGGGGTACTGCTCAGGAGTCACCTTCAGTGACAAGAACTCCGAAGTAGAGAGGAGGAGGTTGGATTGTGGAGCACCCATAGGGGTGCTATTCAATGAAGTAGTAGTAGTTACCTTGTGGTTCTTTGAGATGTGTCCACCCTCCTCCCCTCTCCTTCGGATTTCTTGTCTCTGACTCTGTGGTAGAGAAGGAATTGAGGGGCGTTAGCCTGCGCATTCTAGCTAGCCCACGCACATTTCCCCCAAATTAGCCTGGAGATTTCTCTGTAGAGAGGATTAAACCTGGAAACTTTTAGTTTGAGATACAGCCTTTTTTTAATTAAACGTGCAAAACAGTGTCCTAATTTTTTTGGATGTAGAAAGTTTTGGGGTTTTGTTTATGTTTTTAAACCATCACACAAATGAAGTATTCTTACTGATTTAATTGGATCTGTCAGCTGCCTTTGACACTGTTGAAGGTGGTATCGACATGTTTGCAGTCTATAGTAAGAGTAGATGGAATTGGTTTTGCAGTGGCTCTGCTCCTGGGTGTTGAGAGGACCCGGGGGGAGAGTGGTGATCATCTGAGGTGAGAGGGCTCATGCTGGATGCCATAGGGCTCTTTATGTCTCTCCTTATGGTTTCCTTGAGCCATTGAGCAGTTTGGTTTTTGTACTGTGCCCAGAGCACTGAATGGATACTGTACATGTGACGAAATTAGATAGGTGTCTTCACCAGAAAAGCTGAGTTTATGTTGAAAATGTCATTATAATTCTCAGCTGACACCAGTTTTAATAAGGACTCTAGCCATTCAGCGATGATAAAACATTGCTTGTGATCTTCTGCTGACCAGAAACTGTCCCTTACATTCTTTCTTTTCTAGGGATTTTAGCAATTGGGCTTATTAATGAAGCTCTGGACGAGGGAGACACCAGAAAGACCCTTCAAGCCTTACAGATCCCTGCAGCAAAACTGGAGGGGGTAACCCCAAAGGTAGCACAGCACTACCAGGACACGTTGATCCGAGCCAAGAGGGAGAAAGCACAGGTGAGTGCTATTAAATAGGTCTCTGCAGAATGTCCAGCATATTCTGTTGTGTGATTATGGCAGAAATAGTGCTGATGTCAGTGGAGCAATTGTCAGGCCTTCTGTGGGGATGATCATATTTTGACACTTAGGTTTTGTCTACACTTAAAAAAAAAAATAGTTTTGTAACCACAAGCTGGATGTCACCATAAACCCAGGAAACTGCTGCAGACATACTGATTGCATGCAATGGATCATTGCATCTCTTGTTATTGCTTCAGTTCAGTGCATACAACAGAGGTTGTACTAATGCATTTTGGGACTCTTGGAGCACCAATTCTATAGTGTGCAGCACTTTTGTTGAGAGCACACAGAGGCTTTTGGGTAATTTTCAGAAGTGAGGTCCTTCAGTGTGCAGCAAATACACAGACCCAAAATCACTGGATTTATAACTTCTCAAAACTTGCAATTTTCATGGATTCATGGATTTTTAAGACCAAGAGGGACAATTATGATCACCTAGTTGGGTCTCTGATGTAACATAGGCAATGGAATTTTCACTCAGTAATCCCTGTAACAAGCCCAATAATTTATGGATGAACAAGAACTTTTAGAAAGACATCCAGTCTTGATTGAAATTCCCCCAAGTGATGGACATCCTTTGGTAAATTGTAAGAATGGTTAATTACCCTCACTGTTATAAATTTGCATTTTATTAGTGGATCTTGTTCTGCATTTGCTAGATTAAAAAACCCTCTAGTATTAAATATCTTCTCCCTGTGAAGTACATGTAGACTGTGATCAAATCACCTTTTAGCACTCTCTTTAGTAAGTTAAATAGATTGAACTATTGTCTTTCTCACTGTATGGAAGATTTTCTGGATCACAAATTATTCTTTTAGCTCTTCTCTGAATCTTCTTCAATTTTTCAACATCCTTCTTGAAGCGTAGAGTCTAGTAGCAGTTGCACCAATGCCACAGAGGTAATATAACCTCCCTACTCCTACACAAAGAAAGAACAGGAGTACTTGTGGCACCTTAGAGACTAACACATTTATTTGAGCATAAGCTTTTGTGGGCTACAGCCCACTTCTTCGGATGCATCACTTAAACCAAACTTTTGACAGGTGGACGCCAGCATGCATTCCTCATTTATTGGCTGCCCTAATTGAGAGACCTGGGGTCTGATTTGCAAAAGTGCTGAGCACTCACAACCAGGGCTGCCGAGAGCAGGTTCGGGCCCCAGTGAACATTTTTTTTTCGGGCGGACCAGCTAAACAGGGCCGATGAGAGGAGGGGGAAGCCGGGGCCGGAATTTTTTCGGGCCCCCCAACAAGGGTGGACCGGCTAAACAGGGCTGGGGGGGGGGGGGGGGGGGGGGGAAGCCAGGCCCCGGGCCCCCTTCCGGACCGCCGGGCCCCGGTAATTTGTACCGGTTTCTCCCCCTCCTCGTCGGCCCTGCTCACAACTGTAAGTGAAATCAGTGGGAACTGTACTGTGAGCATATAAAGTGCTCGGTATTCTGAAAAAATCTGATTCTAGAGAGGTCTCAGATTGGGCACCCAAATGTAGTGGGCAGTTGACAATTTGGGGCTTAATCTCTCTGGCTATGTCTACACTGCAGCTGGGAGCGAGCCTTCCAACCCAGGTAGACAGACTTGTGCTAGCAGGGCTCATGCTAGCACACTAAAAATAGCTGTGTGGACATTGTGACAGTGGCAGAGGCTTGGGCTAGCCACTTGAACTCAAACCCATCCTACTTCCTGGGTCTGAGCTCAGGTGGTTGGTCTGACCCTCCCCTGGTGCTGTAGTGTTTGCACAGCTATTTTTAGCATTCTTGTGTGAGCCCTGGTAACTCAAGTCTCTTTACCTGGGCTTGGAGGCTGTGTTCCCTCTAAGCTGTGTGGTCGCGTGGCCGCCCAGGAGTGAATCCAGTGCCACGCACAGTGGCATGTGTTAAGGTGCCACTCCCCTTACTACTCTGGAGCCGCGTCGCTCATGCCCTCTGCTTTCGAGCCCCTGGCCAACTGCTCCCGGGACCCTCCTGCTTGCTGTGCAGAGTGGTGGGGGGGGGGTGGAGAGGGGGGGAGCACTAATGTCAGGGTGTCCACCTCCCCCTGCCCATGTACCCCATCTCTGTAGAGCAGGGGAGGGGGGACAGGGTTCAGGAACAGGAGAGCTGCAGCTGCTGCTGTCTGAGCTTTCTCGTGAGTGCCTTAAAGAGACAGTGCACGGTCTCTAATAGATTTTCCCAGCGCGTGCTCACCTCCCAACACATACTTGTGGTGGTGGTGGTGTTACTTCTTGGTACTTCCTGCAATGCACATATATTTTCAGTAATTTTATTCTTTCAGAGTGGTGGTGTTTTAGTTTTTTAATTGGTCTATGCATTTCATAATTTTATTTCTCTCTCATGCTTAAATTTAATTAATTGAGTAGTGAATTCTAAAATGCCTAATCTGTCCTGGCTGGAGTAATTATCCCTATGGTAACTTTTAAAAAATATATATTATATCTAGGTTTTTTGTTTCTACTGGTGTCACACAGTCTAGACAGTATTTGGTCCTGCCATGCGGGCAGGGGACTGGACTCGATGACCTCTCGAGGTCCCTTCCAGTCCTAGAATCTCTGAATCCGCACATTACCTTAATATTCGTGCACATAACAAAATTCATTACGCACATGGATGGAAAAAAATAGAGGGAACATTGCTTGGAGGCTCACTCCCAACTGCATTGTAGACATACCCTCTGTGCCTCATGTGTACTATAATGGGAGCACCATAGAAAACCTATGAGGAAATGGATGATTGTACATTCAGTGCAGGGTTTGCATGGTGGCAGTAAATAATGTATGTGGTCACATGTTGTATGACAAGGATTAAAAAGAAATATTGACTAGCTATCCTTTCATTGAGCAATATCCATTCTGAGCACTGAATGAGACAAAGGTCCTGTGGAAAATATAGCATGTGATCATGTAATTAAAGTTTGAATCATAATCAGTCAAATGAAGTTTGTACAGGTAGCCTTCATTTTGGCATTTCCTAACTTTTAAGTGCTTGACTTTGCAATATTAGCATTCTCTTAATATCAGTTTTTAATGTAAAATATAACTAATATTATAATATAAAAAATAAAATTTTAGAGACCAACGAATAACCAATTCATTGAGAGATTTGGGGAAGGAGAGATCATGCAAAACATGCTACCAACAAGCTGCCTGCTTACTTACTTCTCTTGCTTCCTATCCCTGATCTGATGATTGTCCAATTGTCTGTAAAGAATCTGGCAGGCTTTCAGCACTAGATAATAACAAGCGGAATTTAGGGAGATAAGTAAGTGGCTCATCTTCATAGCTGGGGAAGGGGTAGGGGGCATGATTCTTGTTGGGATGTGCCTGCTTTGGGTAGTTTGGAGTCAGAAACTGACCTTGCCTTTTTCTGTTCTCCCTGGGGAAGGGGATGCTAGATTTCTCTGCCTTTGGTGACTTGAGGAGGAGAGTTTCATACAGCTTATCTCAGAATCCATCACTGACTTATCTAAGCAGGAATTTGGTTTGAGACTAAGACCTGTGTTGAGCTCAGCAGTGGTTCCATATAAACGTAAATTTTTGAAATGGAGATGGCTGATAATTGCACAAATTACTAATGCAAATGAGGGCCCTGAAAGGGTTAAAAACTCTCAGGAACTGATCTGGGGTTGAATCATTTCCTTTTGCTGAGTCAGTGTGAAATAATGAGCTCCTTTTAGTGTGCTGGGAGCTTGTGCCAGGCTGGGCTGGTAACTGCAGTTGTGGTGAAATTGCCTTTTTTGGGCATTAACTCAGCTTCAGGGCCCCTCCCAGCTGCACTTTAAGTAATTTTAGAAATTGAGATATTAGACTACAGTATAGAAGGAAAATAGTGAAAATCTTTAACCTGACTAGTACTGACTAGTAAATTTGTGTATCTTGGACTGACTGTATGATTGCCATGAGTAACAGTCACTTAGTTTCTCCTTGGATGGTGGGCTACTGTATGACATTTTGTACATTATGTACATAGCTGACATTTTCCAGGCAACAGTGCATGTGGAAGTTTTTAGAGAAGTCTAAAGCAAGGTCTGTTTTCATAGAGAAGAAAGAGAAACAGTTTCCTTACTATTCACTACATGTGGCTGAAGCCCTGCAATGCTAAATGTGTGGGGGTTTTTCCAAAGCCATCCTAGTCCTCCGGACATGCTGTGGATTGTCTTTTACTAGCAGAGATTGGAGTGTGCAAAGTTGTTACCTTTATCAAAGTGGACTAGAAAAGTCCTCTTCCCCCCCTCCACCTGGACAGTTTCTCTCCTTCTGCCATTCTCCTGGGATCAGGTTGACTTTTAGCTGAAAGCTGCCTGTTTTGGACATGTTGCTCTCTTGAGTGAAAGGGACAGATATCCAGGTCATTGTGTGACCTGTCTCAAAGCTACAGAATTAAACTATGTTAATAGGACAAATTCAGAGGATATGTTAGGAAATGCCTCTTTTGGAACTGACCCTCAAAACCCGTTTCACGCTGTAGAGAGTGGCTCTTTATGCTGTATGGCTGTGGTGCACTTTGTGCTAGAGTTGAGCGTTTCCTGTATTCTGTACAGTGAGGGCTGAGGGACGTGGTTTCAGTTTTTAGTAATTAGCAACAGGAAGCAAATGGTGGGTGGGGAGAGACTATACTTGGCAGCTGCAAGGTCATTTGTTCTTCATGCATATGTTTTGGGTCTTCGTTAAACTTCTACCCCTTTTCCCTCATCTCAGTCTCCTGCACATAAACACAGCTGACTAGTTTTGTTCAGAGTCCAACCAGAACAGTTTAGTGTGTGTGATGAAGGCCCTATATATAATGGCCTGTTAAACAGGGTTCCCACGCTTAGTTTAAAGTCTGTTTGAACTCACTTCCAGCCAAAGACCATTCTAACTCTTTTTGGCCTCGCAATGTGGATGGGGAGAAACCAAGTTTGAATCATGTTTAAGAACTCTTTTCACATGTTTTGTAGCCTCTTTGTAAATAGGCTAGAGCAGGGGTGGGCAAACTACGGCCCAGGGGTCATATCCAGCCCTTCAGACGTTTTAATCCATTCCTCGAGCTGCCGCCAGCAAGTGGGGTTGGGGGCTTGCCCTGTTCCGGTGCTCCAGCCAAGGAGCTGGGGCAGGGGCTTGCCCCACTCCGCACATGCCATGGAGCCACACGGCTCCCAGAAGCAGCGGCATGCCCCCCTCCGGCTCCTATGCATAGGGGTAGCCAGGGGGCTCCATGCGCTGCCCCTGCCCCAAGCGCCATCCCAGCAGCTCCCATTGGCCGGGAACCATGGCCAATGGGAGCTGCAGGGTTGGTGCCTGCAGACGGGGCAGTGTGCAGAGCTGCCTGGCCGCGCCTCTGCGTAGGAGCTGGAGTGGGGGACATGCTGCTGCTTCCGGAAGTTGCTTGAGGTAAGCGCCACCTGGAGCCTACACCCCTGACCTCCTTCCATGCCCCAACCCCCTGCCCCAGCCCTAATCCCCCTCCCACCCTCCTAACCACTTGGTCTCAGCCCAGAGCACTCTCCTGCACCCCCAACCCCTCATCCCCAACCCCACCCCCAGCCGGAGCCGGAGCCCTCATCTCCCCCCCGCATCCTAACCCCCTGCCCCGGCCCAGAGCCCCCTCCCGCACCCTGATCTCCTAATTTCTGGCTCCACCCCAGAGCCCGCACCCCCAGCCAGAGTCCTCACCCCGTCCCGCACCCCAACCCCCAATTTCGTGAGTATTCATGGCCCGCCATACAATTTCCATACCTAGATGTGGCCCTCGGGCCAAAAAATTTGCCCACCCCAGGCTAGAGTATGTTTCCCTGATAGTATGGGAAGAAATGTCCTCCAAGTGGCTTTAGGCTACTTGGTGCTAATTCAGTGGCCTATTGCTCTCGTGTCCCTGATCTCTGATTATTAAAGCTATGCACAATATTAGAATCTATCAGTTGCTTCCCCTTCCTCAGCAAATTTATCTTTGGAAATGAGATGATGGGTGAAGAATAGGAGAACCTGCTTGAGTTATGGTTGTAGCAGCCTCTGCTGGTCACAGGAACACATGAAGTTTTAATTCTTGTGCTGTAGTCAAATACAGAGTATCTGGAGAGGAATGTGGCTTTTTTCCCCTCTGTGGCTGAAACTTAATGTGTGAACACTTGCTATGTGCGCAGTTTACATCACAAAGCACAATTATCTTAGATGCACAGCTGGAGATGAGCTTTTTTCCATTTTTCTTTAGGACACTCAGGATGAGACAGCTGTACTGTGGCTGGATGAAATTCAGGATGGAATTCATCGATCCAACAGGGACACAGAGGAGGCACAGAAATGTAAGTTTCATATTAAGTGTTTCTATTAATCTTCATCATCAGGCATCCTCAGACTTTCTAGAAGATGGTTCAGACATAGAACTTTCACTGTGTATATGTGAGAGAGAATGTGGAGTGCTCTCTTTCAGGTGGAGTCCATGTGCATAAGGCAATATGCAAGGTGAGGCCAGACTGTTAACTTATTTTAATGATGTTATTTTTCTACATTATTATGTCACCTTCTGAATACATCCAAGCATCCAATTTGGTATTTTTTTACCACTGCAGCACATTGGGCAAGTGTCTTCACCAAACTGCACACAATAATGCCTACATCATTTTCCTGAGGTTGCATCCAATTCGTTACTCATCTGTGTATTTGTGCATGCACGCACAATTTAAATGATTTCATCCAGTTCATATTACATTGTATTTGTCTATGGTAAATATAATCTGCCATTGTTTTGCCCCATCACTCAGTTTTATTAGATGCTTCTGGAGTTCCTCAAATTTGCACTGATTTTTACTAACCTAAATAATTTTGTACATCAGCATTTTTCACCCATGCTATTCACCACAGCTTTCAGATACCCTAAAAAAATCATGAACAGTAGGCCTAGCACTGGTCTCAAGTTGCAGTGGGGGAGGTTTAGATTGGATATTAGGAAAAACTTTTTTACTAGGACGGTGGTGAAGCTCTGGAATGAGTTACCTAGGGAGGTGGTGGAATCTCCTTCCTTACAGGTTTTTAAGGTCAGGCTTGACAAAGCCCTGGCTGGGATGATTTAGTTGGGAATTGGTCCTGCTTTGAGCAGGGGGTTGGACTAGATGACCTCCTGAGGTCCCTTCCAACCCTGATATTCTATGATTCTATGGTTCATGGGCACCTCACTATTAACTTCCTTTCTGTCTCTAGAAACCATGGTTGATTCCTGCTCTTTGCTTCCTAACTCAGCTCTTTTTTTCAGTTCCTGACAGAATTTTTCCTCTTTCCTTGTGGTTTTAAGTTTCTTTGATGGCCTGTTGTTATAGACTTTATCAAAAACCTTTTGAAATTCTTTTCACCAGTTTCCTTTATTTGCCATTTTAATTCTCTGAAACAAGTGGGAGCCCTGCTAACTTCTGTACCTTTAAATTTTCAAGATTTTTTTCTTGCATTTTATGTATTATGATTTTTTTTATAGTCTCACATTCTCTGTAACATTTATCATGTGAACCCACTAGCGTCTTTTGTATTGAAGATGAAGGCAAAGTAGCTGAGCGTTTTAATTTCTCCAGGCTCCTGCCCTTCCCTCCCCCGCTTTTAGTAGTCATCTTACATTTTTCTTGATATTCTTTTTTAACCCCTGTCATGTTTTATAAAATATATTCTTATTCTTGTCTACTTTAATTTCTAATATTATAGTATCACAATAATGACATTAAATGATTCCAAAAATACATGATCACCACACTTAACCACATACTTGAAGCAAGAACTCTGAAGTGGGGAACTCTGAAAGCGCAAAGTTCTATGCCATTGGCTCTAGGATGGAACATGGTGCATCTCTGCTACAGTGACTCAACAGCTCTCTTCCTTTGTGCTTCTAACCATCCTTCATGGTGTGTAGTGCTTTAAACACAGGCCTACACTTTCCTTTGTCTCAAAGGTGAACATGCACTTACATTTTGTGCATTTCCGCTTCTTCATTTCCTTTTATGTCTTATAGATGTTCAGAAAAGCAGCATCTTCAAATAGTGACCTAGCCAACACCAAGTTTAAGGATGTATTATGGACACATCCTAAATTCCTTCAAATATGGTAATGGATTTGCATGCTAATCCATTGTCTTGCTAATGTTCTTTGATGTCCATATTTGCCCATAGACCTTTCTCTGCAAATTCCATGTGAAAAGGTCCCCAGAATTTTATCTAGAATGGATTAAAAGCCATTAAGTTAACTAGACCTTTTGTTCCCATGGGTACCAACAGAAATCAACATGGACAAGTGCAGAGTCCTGCACTTAGGACGGAAGAATCCCATGCACTATTAGACTAGGGACCGAATGGCTAGGAAGCAGTTCTGCAGAAAAAGACCTAGGGGTTACAGTGGACGAGAAGCTGGATGTGAGTCAACAGTGTGCCCTTGTTGCCAAGAAGGCTAATGGCATTTTGGGCTGTATAAGTAAGGGCATTGCCAGCAGATCGAGGGACGTGATCATTCCCCTCTATTCGACATTGGTGAGGCCTCATCTGGAGTACTGGGCCCCACACTACAAGAAGGATGTGGAAAAATTGGAAAGAGTCCAGCGGAGGGCAACAAAAATGATTAGGGGGCTGGAGCACATGACTTATGAGGAGAGGCTGAGGGAACTGGGATTGTTTAGTCTGCAGAAGAGAAGAATGAGTCGGGATTTGATAGCTGCTTTCAACTACCTGAAAGGGGGTTCCAAAGAGGATGGATCTAGACTGTTCTCAGTGGTACCTGATGACAGAACAAGGAGTAATAGTCTCAAGTTGCAGTTGGGGAGGTTTAGGTTGGATATTAGGAAAAACTTTTTCACTAGGAGGGTGGTGAAGCACTGGAATGGGTTACCTAGGGAGGTGGTGGAATCTCCTTCCTTAGAGGTTTTTAAGGTCAGGCTTGACAAAGCCCTGGCTGGGATGATTTAGTTGGCGATTGGTCCTGCTTTGAGCAGGGGGTTGGACTAGATGACCTCCTGAGGTCCCTTCCAACCCTGATATTCTATGATTCGAATAGGTTGTGCTGCCTCCATGAAAACATGCCTAAATGGACAGTGTGTCAGGGCAGCTATTTGAAGGTCATGTCAAGGAACATCCAGTCTGAGGAGAGCTGGTTTCTGCTGCCAACTTCCAATCAGTTTCTGTCAAACTGTAGATCTGTAGGGTATCTACGAGGAATCCTCTATACACCTTTTACAAAGCATTGCTGCTTGAACTTGGCCTGTTTTGGGTAAGGACTGATTTATGTGGGGCTTTCTGTACATTAAATATTGACCCATCCTCCTCAGTCTTCACTTGCAATCTCATCCCCAGTGGTATTACCCACAGATTGTGACCTCTCCTGGTGAACTGAGAGAGAGAAAACTAGGATGCTGGGTGAAGTAGTGATTGCTCCAAGTGGAAAGGGCAGGGTGGAGTGGAAGTAAAACATCTGACAATGGTGATATGCTCTGTTGAAGACACTTGAGTCCTAAAGATGTGCACCTAATGTCCCTTTTCTCCCACCCCCAGAGAAACATTCAAAGTTGCTTTTCTATTAATCTGTTCTGTTTGGTGTGGACCACTGAGCCCCTGCATGCCAAGGTAACCCGCTCTTTTGTGTATTATCTAAGTTTCATTAGGAATTCTGGCCATTAATGAAGCAGTGGTCCATGGTGATGTGGGCCAGACACTCAGTGCCCTGCGCTCGCCTGATGTTGGACTGTATGGAGTCACTCCAGAGTGTGATGAGACATACCAGCGTGACCTGGCAGAAGCCAAGAGAGAAAAAATGGCAGCAGGTGAACTGTGGGGGTTGTACAACTGAATTTTAAATGGTAAACTGGCAAGGAGAAAATAGATGAATCTGTGATGGTGGAATGGAAAGCAGAGGCCAGGGAAGAAATTTGTCTGGAAAGGAGTCTAGGGTTGTGCAGAGGGGATGGGGGACTTCTTTTTAACATTTAGAAAATATACTTTTACTTAAATGTTTAGTAGAATGTTCTCTACTTCAGGAGCATGTTATGGTAGGTTGCTCAGTAAGGTCTTGGGGGAATGTGACATCTGCTTTTCTAGCTGCAGTGAACAGATAGTTGAAAGTAGTTGTACTGATGATTGCTTAATGAATGTTATCTGTGTGCTGGGAGGCTGTGCTTCCCCTTCAGTTCTTGTACTTCAATTTCTGCTCATAGGGGACAATGGCAGTGAGTGGGTGAAGCACTGGGTGAAAGGAGGCTATTATTATTACCATAACCTGCAAACCAGAGAGGGACGTTGGGATGAACCCTCAGGATTTGTGCAGAATAATACCCAGCTCTCCCGGGAGGAGATACAGGTAGTAGAATAACATGTACTCATTGTCTCCCTGAAAAGAGCAAATTCTTTGTAGTTGCTCACCTGAGTAATGCTCCCCAGTATTATCCTAAGAGTTAAAGCTTAAATCCAAATAGAATTATTGGCTAAAAGATAATGCTGTTTAAAAATAACTAAAACAAATACTTTGCTGCTACATCTTCCTCTCATTTATGCCTTTTTGGGTGTGCCTCCATGCCCTTTTGGTGTTGCCATTATGCTATACACATGCTTTGCACCCTTTCTGCTGGGGGCTAGCAGATTTTTATAGACGATGTATTTCACCTTGGCTCCGTGTGTCAAGAAATTCCTTCTCTCACCAGAAAGTATATAGAGGAGCCACTTCAATAAATTCACCATAACTTTGAGCTCAGGATCATGACCCCAATGTATGTTGAAGGATAATTTAGGATATTTTGTCCATGATATAGCAAGTTAATTTACCATCTTGATTTTTGTCTCCACTGCCTCTTCCTCCATAACACTAATTCAGAGCTCTATCTCTGGAGTCACTGCTGCGTACAACAGAGAACAGCTCTGGCTTGCTAATGAGAACCTGATTACCAGGCTGCAGGCTTGCTGCCGTGGGTACCTTGTTCGCCAGGAATTCAACTCCAGAATGAATTTCTTGAAGAAGCAAGTCCCTGCAATCACTTGTATCCAGGTAGTGAAGTCCTATGTCTCTGTCTATGGATGACTTCTTCTGTGTCCATACTACGTATACTGTGATACTATTATTATTTGTGAATTATAGTAGTGCCTAGAAACCAGAGTCTCATTGTGCTGGGTGTTACATACGGTACAAACATCTAATAGAAAGACAGCCCCTGCCCTGAAGAGTTTATGTTGCTTATCCCTTTTCATGTGAAACTAGCAAATTCCTCCTCAGGCAGAACTGCAGGGAGAGGATTGTATCAGAGAAGACCTTCTAGTGGTTTATTGTTTGGTCAGCCATTGATGTTTGTTTTGGGGACAGGAGTATGCCAGGTGCTCTGTGTTGAAGAATTTATCTCATGAACTGCTCAGTAATGTACACTGGGGCTGCATTATATCTGAAGTATATTAGAGCTGTTGAATCAGCTCCATCTCTTATGGGCCTTCTGTCCCTTCAGTGGGGATGCATTCGACACAATTGTATCCTGGGACCTGCTTTCTATCTCTGAAGGAATGTGCTTGTTCCATTTTTTATTAGCTTATTTCAAGCTGGTGATATCTGGAAAGTGACTTTCTTAGAAGTTGTGAGTGGAAAGTGGGGGAACTGCACCAGAAATAAAGGGAAGGTTTGTGAATACTGGGTGGCAGCATCAGACCTATCAGCGTAGGGATAGCAGAAAGTCTGAGTGAGTAAATTGTACGCATACATTTTATAAAATCCCAACGTGGACCTGATTGTCTCATGAAGACAACCCCCGTCATTGGAAAAGGGGAAGGAGTTGAGGGCAGGGAAGGTAGCCTGATTGGCAGGAGAAGAAGGCGGAGGAAGTCTTAGGGTATGTCTATACTAAAAAATAAAGTCAACCTATATTAGGTTAACTTCAGTGTTGATAAATTCAAAGTAATGCGCACATTGGAAAACATAATCCCAACCATACATATAAAATGATGGGGTCTAAATTAGCCGTTACCACTCAAGAAAGAGATCTTGGAGTCTTTGTGGATAGTTCTCTGAAAACATCCACTCAATGTGCAGCAGCGGTCAAAAAAGCAAATAGAATGTTGGGAATCATTAAGAACAGGATAGGTAATAAGACAGAAAATATCATATTGCCTCTATATAAATCCATGGTACACCCACATCTTGAATACTCTGTGCAGATGTGGTCGCCCCATCTCAAAAAAGATTGGAATTGGTTCAGAAAAGGGCAACAAAA